GGTCAAGCTTCAATGGCCACAAACCTCCTCTGTGTCTTATCGTCAAAGTATGCCTGAATTCTGCAAGCAAACGACGTCTCTTGAGGAATGAGCCGGGAGGAGAAGAATCCGGCCGGCTGCCCTCGCACAAGCCCCGGCAGGAGAAATATCTGGTGTTTATCGGGAAAGTAAACAGGTAGAGATGAGCTGCCCGCAGCGAGCAGCGCTCTGCGGACGATGAAGGTGTTATCTAAATATAGTTGCTCATCTGGCCACAACTGTGTGCAGAGGAATTATAGGATCATCAGGTTACACAACTGCTCCAAACAGCCTTAACTGAGATTGAGACACACAGTTGTTGGGGGGGAACTAGCAGGCTCTCGCATACTTTCTCTGAGTAATGTGTTTATGAAAATGCAGGGGCTGGGCCTACAAAAACATGAATTCCAGTCCGCGGCCGCGTTCCTCTTCCCTGTGCAAGGGGAGGAGGGAGAGTCTCCTCCAAGGGGTTGCTCATGAAAGACTATCAACACCTTGCTGGAGAAGACCTAAGGAGCAAAAGCATCCCAGATAAAACCAGCTGCGTTCAACCTCTCTGCAAAGAGCTGGTTTGTTGGGACGGGATTTAAGCCGGAAGCTGAAGAAACATACTCAGTGTTGGTGCATGCAATTAAAAATGAAAAGGAGGATGCTAGACATAAGACTGTGGGGCAGGAAAGAGGAGTGAAGGACCAAGCTTTGAGAGGGAGAGGGGTCTTTGACTATGGGGCCAAATGAAGTGGGCTGGAGAGAGAGAAAGAGGACAGCGTCTGCGCCAAGTCCAGAGGGGAGAGCTCCAAGGCTAGGGACAGAAGTTGCACATAAACCACTTTAAGTCATCAGAAACTGGTTTAAACCTGTAGCAGAACAGAAATTCAGCACAAAAACCAGTTTCAAAATGGCTGAAACTGGTTTAAGATAAACCTGGTGGAATGGAGTCTCACATTGAACTGCTTTGGGTCAAACTCCTCTCCCAGACCCCAGAGACAAGGCTTAGAGTCCTTGCCGGGCCAATGTCTGGGTCCTGAAGAGCACCAAAGCTGAGGCAGATGATCTGCTGCTTTGCCTGAGTATTGCTTGTGCTGTCCAAAGTAAGAGCGATTGGTGTGGGAGCCCTTTGAACCTGCATGGCCTCGGCTTCAGCTATCGACGAACCCAGGGAGGTGACGTGGTCCCTGCACGAACCCGTCAGGAACCTGGGGTCTCTGGACAGCTGTAGGGCTGTGAGATTCCTCTTTTGAGGCTGAGTTTCCCTTTCTGGGGAGCAGCCTTGGCTCCCAGCAGCACTCCAGGGCTTGTCCCCGTGGGTCTTGGACACACGTGTCTGCACTGCCTTGTCCTGTGCATGCAAAGCTGGTCACCACTCAGCAGTACTGACCCAGCCATTGCAGAGGAAAGGAGGGGAAAGACTTCAATAGCAATAAACCCAGGCCTCAGACTGCAGGCCCCGTTGAGCCAGCAGCCCGGGCTGGAAGCTTGAGGGGAACACATCCATTGCACTGCGCTCCACATCTCAGACCACCCCGACCACGCATGCTCCCTGCCCTGTAAAGGATGCTCCCTCCGGGGGTAAGCTGGGCAGGGCGTGTGCGGCAGGCAGCCTGGACCTCCATTCCTAGAGGCTGCCAGGGACGTCCAAGATCTTCCCACGCAAAACCTCTCAGCTTCCTCCGCTGCATCCTGAAGCCTGAGCGACTCTGGGCTCGTGGCCGATCCGTTGCGGCCCTTGGGGCTTGCCTGGAGCCAGCTGGTGCAGCGGGGCTGTGGGCAGCAAGGTGCAGCCTGCTGTCTCCAGGGGGTCCAGGGCGTGCAGCAACCCTCCCAAACCCCTCTGTGATCCAGCAGCCTTTGAGATCAAGACTTGGCCCCTTTAATTCCTGCCTAGGAGCAGACTAGGAAGGATGCTGCCCATCACACCAAGTAGCAGCAACCTCAGCCCGGTCCAGCGAGGGCACTGACCGCTGCATTGGCACAACCATGCATCTACCTGGGACCCTGTTCCCTGCTGCCCCATGCATCCCAGAGCAGGCCCTGGTATGGGGTGCAACCCCTTTCCCTGCTCCCTTGAAAGAGAAACACCTTCCCGCCAGGCCGTGCTGGGAGCTGTCTTGCTTTCACAGGGCCGATCCCAGCTGCACTGCCGTTCTGGGATCCCTGCTGCAGGTGCTGGCAGCGCCCCCCCCGCCGTGCCCGCTGCGGTTTCCCTGCAGTTGTTTTCCCACTGCAAATCCCCCCGGAGCTGTGCAAGGTTGGCTGCGTAATCACCGGTTGACTCGTTGCAGCCGTCTCCCAGGTGAGAACCTGCAAATCATCCAAACGCAGCCGCCCGGCTGTCAAAACAACCCCGCCGCGCTCCCGTGCCAAACACGGCCTTCGCCAGCGCGCCGTTGTTTATGCCGAGGTGAGGGATGGTGGGAGAGAGCATCTGAGCTGCTCCGGGCTTGGCCTGGTGACAGGTGAAGACGACATCGTCCAAATCATTTCATGCATTCCCTCTTGTCTTCAGGGGATCCCCTTCTAGCCTGCAGCGTGATCAGCTTGGATATGAAAGCTCAGCCCATCCCTACCTGCAAATCAGACTATACCCAAACTAGCTCTCAGCCCTAGGAGAGATCGCTCAGGCCAGCATCCTAAGGAGCCAAGAGTGCCAGGGTCTCTGCTACTCACCCACTCGGGGACCCTTTTGCAAGTCACTTAACCTCTCCCCATGCCCTGATGCTCAGTCGAAGCCACTTCTCCCCGGGGGGCATCAGAGACCCAGTGGTGGAAGATGCTACTTTCCAAAATCCTGACAATTTAAAGACACCCATTCTTGGAAGCAGGTTTATTGAAATCGGTGAGTCTCAACCCGGTTTCTGCAGCCTTCTGCAGGGCTGTGAGATCCTTTTAGGATTTGCAAGAGAAATTTCCACCCACAGTGTTTAAACCGCTCTGCCTGGCCGGGTTCCTTGCAACCGATGCATTGCCCTAGTATTTTCCCAGGGTCAGCCCGAGTGAAAGCTCAGAGCTGGCATTTTCCAAGGTGGGGCTTCGAACCGAACGTGGGGGTCAGGAGGGTTGAGAACAACTGATTTTAGGCTGAAATGTGGCAGGTGCCAGCTTGCCTCTCTGGAAGGCTTTGTTTGCTGACGTCTCTGAAATGATTTCCAGGTGTCTTGCACACAGCCCTGGCCTCTCGCTCCTCTGGGCTCGGGTTGTGCAGGGGCCTGTTCCTCCCTTCCCTCCAGCCGTGGCGTGGGGAAGGGTCCCCCTGATGCCCCCAGTCTGGGGGAGCCGTGCCGGGCACAGACAGGAGATGGATAATATTATCAGGCCACTGAATCCCTCCAGATCCGCTCTCTGCCCATTTCCATCAACCAGCCACAATGAGCAGGTTTCTCCTCTAGGAAAAAAAAGATTTGGGATTCACTCGAACAAAATGCCCCCAGGACAAGGCAGTTTGAGCCTTAGGAGCAGCAAGCCAGGGGAAGAACAGCCCAGCTCCCAGACCCCAACCGTGCTAGCAGGGAAAGCAGGGAGCCTCCCTCTCCATGAAGGCAGAAGGGGTATTTTAGGAACAGCTGCTTTTCCTTCCAAAAAGGGGAAGTAAAGCAGCAGCTGATACAAAGCAAGGACACGAAACCTAGAGCTGGGCACAAGGGTCAGTTGGCTGGTGGATAAATGCAGCTTGGGGTCAGTCAGACACCAATACTGGCAACTCCAGGCTGAATTTGGTGCCTGATTTAGGCTGAGTGTTTTGCCCGAGTGCTTTGCTTCAGCCTTTCTGAGCCGGGCTACTGTGGAAGTGATGGTTTAGGAACAAATACACCCACGTTTGGCTCCTTTGAAAACATGTAGAAAAAAGAAAGACCCCACAGGAAGCCTGCCTGGGGTTTGCTCCAGGCAGGAAAAAAGCAAATGCTGGGTGCTTTGGGCGAGTGATTTCTTCCCTGCAATTTGGCCATGAAACAGGCCCCCCCCCACCCACGTGCACCTGAGTTACCACCCCAGCTCCCTTGCCTTTCTGCAGCCTTGAGCAAACACCGGTTGTTCCCGTCCTGCCTCTCCTAGGCCAGTTCCCAAAGCACTTTGCAGTCCCGTAGCATTAACCGTCCCGCCGGGAGCCAGGGCAAGCACCCTCTCCTTGTTTCCCAGCTGCAGAAGCCGAGGCGCGGGGAAACGGAGTCACCTACGGCCGCCTCGGGAGGTCGAGCCGGGAGCCGAGTGCAGGAGACGCTGCCTGCCACCTTGGCCCTCTGAGATGGGGCAGGGCGAGGGGCCTTCAGGGACCTTGGTGCGCAGCACAAAGCAGAATCCATGCATTTCCAGGGACGGAGATGCCTGGCCCACGGCGGCACAGGAGCACTCGCCGGCCTGCATTTATCAAGCATGCAAGACCCTCGGACAGAAAGCACCCGGCATCGCTGGGATGCAACTCGGTAGCTTTGAACATTAGTCACCCTCCCAGTCACGGCTCTTGCTGCAGCCTGTAGAGCACAAGTCCCCGGCAAACCGGTTGCAGTGTGACACATGGGTATCACCAACACGACACACACGCTGGCTTGTGAGCTCTGTCTTCCAACTGGAGCTGATTGCACGGGATGCTGGAAAGAAACCCCCTGGCTCCCCACGGCCTGCCAGAAGCCATGCACATCTTTGGCGGGGCAAGAAGGGAAAGCTCTGCTGGGTCTGAGCTGTCACGGCCCCTTCCCGGGAGCCGAGAGCTCGGGTGAAACCGCCAGGGGGAGCCCCGAGGACTCGGCTTTAAATTGCAACCCAGAGATGCTCTGACTTCATTCAGGTGGTTTCTAGCCCGAGGAGCCAGCACCGACGCCTGCCTTGCTCCTGGAGGATAAGAGAGGCAAGGAAGAGTCTTTGCACTCACATCTCCGCCTGAGTGCTACCAAGGGGGAGGAAGAAAGCAAATCCTACCAGCTGCCTAGGTGCTGGGAGCGTGGACTGGTACCTAGGGACTGTGGCATCCTCTTCACAGCCCTTTTGAGATGGCCAGCGGAGGTCTGCAGCTGCTGGGCTTCATCCTGGCCTTTGTAGGCTGGATCGGCATCATCGTCAGCACGGCTATGCCCCAGTGGAAGATGTCCTCCTACGCCGGGGACAACCTTGTGACAGCCCAGGCCATCTACGAGGGGCTGTGGATGTCTTGTGTCACCCAGAGCACAGGCCAGATGCAGTGCAAGATATACGACTCCCTGCTGAAACTGGAGAGTAAGTGCGTGGAGCGGGTTTGGGGGGGTCTCCCTGCTGTCCCCGCCCTGAAGTTTAATACTTTCATAGTTGTTAGGGGCTGGAAGGGACTTTACAGATCGAGTCCGGCACCCTGATGTGAAGTTAGCAGATCCCAGAAGGACAGCTCTAGGGTGCTGCTGTTCTGGTTCAGCTGGTGGGTCCGTGAGATCGTGCCCTGCCCAACTTTGTGTCTCTCTGGATCTGACTCTTCCCAGCACCCCATGCACCCCTGCTTGCAAGCCTTGTTTGCTGGACTTCCAGGGCCCCATCCGGCTCCGTCTCCGGCTGCAGCCAGCAGGAAAGCTCTGGTTGTGGGCCAGCCTGAGCCGGTGCATCTCATGGTAACCGTTCCCAAGGGAGGTATTTGGCCACATGTAATGCCACCAAAGCCCTTGAACGGGGCTTGACAAGTAGGGATGCAGAAGCCAGACCGAGGTGTATGTCTGTTTTCTCACTGATCCCACAAGCGCTTGCTACGGGCGCCTTCCTCCCATCAAGGAGTCTGCTGGGGGTGTAGCGGGGTGAGACAAGGGAATCGATCACTGGGGTTTCTTTTTTCTGGAGAGATTTTTATATATGCTTTTTACATAGTATTACTTTTATATATGTTTTATTATATATTTTTATATATACTTTTGCTTCAGCTGCCTACCTGAGTCCTTGCTGTAATATCTACCCCTGCCCCCAAGAGACAGGGCACCTCCCAGAAGGACAAAAGGATTGTTTTCCCCTTAACAAATGTGCTAGGCTGTCAAGGGGGCAGGTTGGGCAGTCTTCACTTATTGCAAAGCAATAGGTGGGGTTTGCAACCCCCTTAGGTGGGGTTTGCTTCCCCAAGGAGGGTGCTTGGGAAGAGCCCCGTGCTGTGCCATCTCCAGTGTTGGTTTCTGGTGAATTGTGGGGCCTGGAGGAGCTGGGCTTGCGGCTGGGCCTTGGGCAGGGAGTCGGGGGTTCAACCAGGCACTGGTGTAGCATGAACGGGGAGGACCGGGGCAGGCAGCTCCAGCCAGCGATGGGCTTGGGCGAGGGAGGGAGGTAGGAATGTGAAATGCTGGAGAAATCAAAGCCAGGTTTTCTCCAGGTCATAGCCAGCTCCACCTGGCCAGGCTCTTCTTGATAGCAAGCAGGGGACAGGAGCTTTCCCAAAATCCTGGTGGGCGGCACAGCCTGATCAGCGGAGACAACCCCGTGGGAGCCAGGTCCATCGGGGGTATCTCCAAAGCGCTAATGCTGCGGGGTTTGCTCCGCCGCTCACATCCCTCCAGTCCTGACCAGTTGCATCTGCCTAGCACCAGTTGCAAAAGCTGCTGGGGTAAAGGGTGCGTGTGCCCGCGCCGGCAGCGAGGGCGGGCATGTTCCAGCCGAGAGCCTTGCTTCATCCGCGAGGATGCAATCCCTCGTCTCTGCAGCCTTGTCCTCAGTCGTCCCTCCTCCGGGGCCTGAGCGGTAGGGCCTGATTCTGCAGGTGGGAGCCAGCTTGGATTTCTCTTTCCTAGCTTCCGGCTTTTGGCTCTGGGAAAATTCCCGCTGTCGTTTCGCTCAGGCGGGCACTCGGGGGCCGTGGCCAGAAAAGCTGCACCTGCATGCAGCTGGCTGTGGCTTGGACCAGCAGAGAAGGGCTCTTGCTCTCATAGCTTCTTCCCAGCTCCTGGCAAGAAGCCGGCTCTGCTTCCCCAGCCATGCATCCAAATGCAAGCCTCTGTCATCCTGGAGGCATCCGTCCACGCTGCCTCCACCCTGCTCAAGTCCAGCCCTGGTGACATACATTTCTGCATGTCTGAGGATAAGCCAGGCCTTTGCCTGGAAAGGCTGGAGAAATGCAGCGGCCTCACCCACCACCCACTTAGGAGCCAGTCGGTTCCTTTAAGTATTTGCGGGGGAGTGGATCTGTTTATACACTTCGCCGACAAGGGTGGTGCCTACCCACGCCGGCCGGTTGGAGTGAAATGTCCTCGGCTCCTTACGGAGGAGGAGGGAGCTGTGCAGTCCTCTGGGCACACACATGGACCACCAGAAACCACAGGAGATGCAGCCCGGCTGCGGCAGAGCAGAGGCAAAACTCAGCCCAGGTGTCCTCCCATGCTTGTTGGCTCGGTTAGATGCTGCTCTCGCTGGCACTGATAGCAAAGCAGTGGCTACTGGCTGTTGGTACCATGCTCAGGGCTAGTCTTGGGTCTCGCATGGCACTGCACACCAGTCCTTTCCCAGCCCAGCCTGTTACCCTGGGGTCTTCTCCCCACCTCATCTGACCCTGCCGGCGTTCACGGAGCACTGTGATTGAACGTGCACGAGTAGGGGGGTGGAAGAGGTGCCTGATGCGCTCGCATGGCAAAACCCTAGTGAAGATCAGGGCTGCTGGGTGCACGGGCATTCAAGTCTGATAATCCCCCGCCGTCTTCCAGCGAGAGGGGATCATAGCGTCCTTGACCTGCCCACTCCTGTGCACACGATACGGTGCCTAAAGTGCGCTGGGGCTTTCCCTTGTGCTCGGGGAGGACCCCGGGTCCCCTGCGGGACATTGTGGTCAGCACGTCACTCCCTCCTGAGGTCAGTGTCTGTCCTGGACCTGCGTTATGAATGACCGTATAGCAATCATTCATAACCCTGGTGCGCTGGCATGTCAGGAGTCCTCTGCTCCCGAAGAGCTGGCTGTGCTCCCCCTGGGATGACAGGAAGGGAGCATGGCAAGCATCCCCAGGGCCTTTTCCCGGGTGTTGCCCTGGCAGGGAGAGGCTTGCAAAGCCAGAGAGCGTCTGCCGCACCCTGAGCCCAGCCACCCGCCTCAGCTGCAATGCTTGCAGCTTCCCTGAATTTCTCATGATCACCAGGCACCTGAAGTGGGGTGAGACCCAGTGCCATGTGCAGCCACTCGCCAGGGCTCTCAGGGCATCACTAGCAGCATGTGGGGGGCACTGCTGTGCAGCACCAGGCTCTCCCAGGAGCGGGGGGCATGGGGAAAAACCCACCCCTCTCCAGGCAGCATTCACACCTAGCAGCCCTGCTGGCTCTGCTGTCTCCCGGGCGAGGCAGGCTGGGCTGACGGCTCTGGGCACCGCGGGAGCTATGCCAGGGCTCCATCGCTACCCCGTGGGAGCGTGCCCACGCTGGCGGCAAGCTGGGGCCTGTCATTCAGGGCGCGGCTGAATTCAGCCAAACGACAAGGCTGCATTTCACCTGTCGACCCGCAACCCGGGGATGGGTGCAAGTAAACCTGTGACCCTTAAAAGCAGCCTCTGGGGACCAACCTGCCCCGTGAGGTGCCAGGAGGAGCCTGGCAGAGGAGAGCAGGGCATGGCTGCTGCTCTCCGGCGTGCAAGCTGTGTGCGCGAGGTGGGTGTGCATTCAGCCCTGTGCCTGCGTGGGCACCGAGGGGGTTGGTTTATGTTTGCACGGTGTTTGGATGGCATAAAAAGGTAGCCAGGGTATCACCTGGGAGAGAGCCCTAGCCTTATCACCATGCTGCCTTGATAAATAGCACGCACTTAATTTGCAAGTCCATGGGTGCAGAATAGCATTGGGTTTGGGGGAAACGTTTGGCATTAGAAAGGGGGCTGTTATGGGACAGTACGTCTGCCGTGGAAAGCATTTATCTAGGTCTCAGATCAAGCATGGGCCGTGCGGTTCATGGGTGTTGGGACCCTTTAATGGTGATTGAAAGCTGCTGGGCTTTCCAGCCTCGGCATTGCAGGAATTAACCCAACCGCAGCCGGGTCTGTCTGCTCCTGGGGGAGTCTCCACAGGCAGGGCGTTGCTGACCGCTCGGTGTCCAGCCCAGGACAGGAATGCGGGTGGGGATGGCCGGCTGGCTCCAGGACCAGCTGGGGGTCCGGCAGCCTTCCCCTCTCCATCGCTGGCCCGCTCATGGCCTGGCTCCGTGCAGCCAAACCCTGCGTTTCTGCAAGGAAGGGAGCCCTGGTGCAATGCAACGAGAGCCTGGAGAGCGCGGTTTCGGGAGGGAGCGTAGGTAGCCTCCCACCAGGAAAACTTGGAGTGGAGCAAATGGAGCAATTTAGGCTGCGTTTCCCACAGTGCACATGCAGTCAGTGGCGCGTGGGTAGTTCCCACTTGCTGAAGGGAAGAGGATGTCAGCATCACTGACCGGGGCTCTGTCACTTGGATGCGGGTGGGCCTTGTACGGCCGTGTGGGAGGGGGAATCGCCCAGAGACAGGCATGCAGCTCATCAGCAGCCCTTCAGGGACTGCATCCGCTGGTGGGGAAGGGTTGCCAGCAGCACGGCCTGAGGGCAGGGACATGGACAGCCTAGAGGAGACATCTGCCTTCCCTCTGCAAAGGAGGTGTCATCCTTTGCTGGAGGGAAGTGGGGGGCAGCAAGAGGGGGGCTGCAAAATATCCTCCACCTGTCACAGACAATGAGGGTTGAAGGGACCCCAGGAGGTCACCTTGAGTCCGACCCCCTGCTCCAAGCAGGACCAGCCCCAACTCCATCATCCCAGACAAGGCTTTGTTTAATCGGGTCTTAAACACCTGCAAGGATGGAGACTGCACCACCTCCCTGGGGATCCTGGTCCAGTGCTTCACCACCCTCCTACTGGGAAAGGTTTTTCCTAATATCTAACCTAAACCTCTCTTGCTGCAACTTGTCCAAACACAGCTCCTCTCTCCCCTCTCTTGCTGGCGGCATAAACAAACCGCATCGCACGATGCGAGGATACAAAGCGATCCCGAGCCCTCACCGTGCAACAGGTTCTTGCAGTGACTTCTATGCCAGATACTCAGAGCTGTGGAAAGCATATATCTAAGTCTCAGATCAAGCATGGGCTGTGCGCTTCATTTATCCAAATCCCGTCTTGCAAAGCCACGAGCTGACGTCGTGATGCGGGAGGTTGCTTTTTGGGATGCAGATGCGGGCAGAGCCGCGCTTGCACAGCCTTGCGAGAGTCAAAGGGCTGCCACATGACCAAAGCATGCCAGAGCCTATCGGTATTGCAGCTACTGCCCATAGTTAAGCATCCCCAGCAGCTCTGAACATAAAATCCTGCAAGGGCTTATGACCAGCTGGTGTTAGCAGGGCCGGTCCTTTATTGCTAAACACTGATAAAAACCCATACACCGTGGATCATGGTAACCCCATGATGTGGATGCTGCGTGGTGTCAGTCCTGTTCCTGCTGCAAGGGCAGTCTTTGCAAGCACGGGTGCTTGAGGTGAGGCCTCCTGTCCCTTAGATAAAAGCTGCCTGCTTTACCCAAGTTTTCTGACGCTGCCATTGCCCTCGGTGTAATGCTTGGTGTGAGCACAGGTTGCAGGGAGAAGCCCTGGTCCTGTATGGAAGACAGCGTGTGCCCTAGGAAGACCGAGTGTCCTGGCCTAGCCCTGTCCCCTGGCTCTCACCCAAAATTTCCTGCAGATTTTGATAATCCTACTTGGAGCTAGTGCTTTGGTTACACCTAACAACCGGCTCCTTTGTCCTGCTGGCACCATAGGAGTGATGCCCGGGTGCACGGTGCATGAGACATGGATCCATCTCTGTGCAGACGTGGTCCGCGCCCTGCTGAGACCGCATGAGGGTGAACCGGGCAGCTATAAGGGGGAGGACTGCGAGTCTCTCTTGGCTGCGTTCTCCCTTGCAGCATAAAAGGGTCTGTTCAAGAGGAACAATCCTGCCCATTTTCCTCTGGGCCTGGCCTCATTGCCCCCCTCTTTCCCTCCCGGCCTCTGCCTTTGTCTTCTGCCAAGCCGTGGAGACGGCGTGGACTGCTGGGGGCGAGCGGCTGCGTGCAAGTCGTCATGCGTGGCCTCGGGAAGGGCTTGTGACCCCTCTCTTCCTCCATCTGTGCCATTTGGACGGGGATGCTTGTTTACCAGAGCCATGGGAAGGTTGGCGTGAGAGCTGCAGATATAAATTGCATGTGTTTAAAAGTCGCTTCCCAGTCTTCCAAGACCACTTCAGTTTTCTCTCTCAAGCACCTTCCCCACTGATTTGCTCCCCTGGTTCCTTGCAGAGGAGCTGGGCTTTGCAGTCTCTTCTCTATCCCTCATTTTTTTTTCTGTTTCCCAGGCAGTTTGCCTCTGTCCTGGGGTGTGCAACTTCCCTCCCGTGGGAGTTATCTCGTTAGCAATCAGAAGGAGCCCAAAGAAATCCACAGCAGGTGTGACATGCCATTGCACATCACCTCTTCTCATGCGCGGAGAAAGCAGAGCTTAGGAAGTCAGCATTTTGCACTGACTGAAATCCCCGTGCGGCCTTTGAATGGCCAGAGGCCGAAAGGGCAGGCTGAGCTGAGCTGTGCCCTAAAAATGTGCTTGCAAAATCATTCAGCAGAATTTGTGAAATACAGGGGGGAAATGACCCATAGAAACTGCATTGCAAAAAGGGCTTCACTTAGTCCTGTTCTGTGGCTTCATTTCCAAGCCTAGGGAGGAGCCTTGTCTTTTCCCTTTTAAGAGAAGCCCTGGAGGCAGGATCCAGCCCACTCGGCTCTGAATGTGAATTCATGGGTTTCTTTTCCTGGGAAGGGTGTGTCGCTTCCTGTGCATCTAGATCTTGCATGGGTTTTTTTTTTCCTGCTCCTACACCAAGAGCTATTTGCACAGAAATGGGTCCAGATTTATCTTCAAATCCCGGTGCCTTGCTGCCATGGTGTAGGGAGAGCAGGTTGCCTCGGCTGGCTTGCACCCATTTGGCCGCTCAAAGAGGAGAGGAAAGGTGCTAGACCGTATGCCGTGGTGAGCGCAGACTCCCAGGGTGGGACCCCCAGAGGTGCCGATCCAGCCGTCTGCCCCGACACAGGACGCACTAGAAGCAGAAAGTGAACTTAACCAAAGTAGCCCCGTAGCTGTGCCAACAAAAGGCTTCTCAGTGGGAAACTCCAGCAAAGTTGAGCCCTTGCCCTAGGAGGCATATAAAAAGTCAGGGTAGGGGTATCACCGATTGAGACCCCGTGTAAAGGGACACAGAGCCGTGATCGGTGGGTAGGGTGTGCAAGCGTATGACAGACTCTGACAGCCTTTGATTTAACACCTTGCTCTGCCTTTTTCTCCTCGAGCTATCTACCATCAGCAGTCTCTTTCCTGGATAAGTGGCTGTGCTGAGACCACCTCCTCTCCTCCTTTGCTGGCTTTCCACCCCTCACCTCATTCTTGCAGCTCTCCTCTAAATCCTTTCCAGCTTTCCAGCATCCTTTTTGGAGGGTGGACTCCAGAACGGGATGCTTTTTCCAGTGATGGCCTCATCGCAAGAGATACCACCTCCTTGCTCTTCAATATTCTCCTACATATCCATTCAAGGGATTGTGATATCCACTTTCACTGCAGCATTGCCCTGGCAGCTGGTTTCATTTAGCTACCGAGACCAGAGTCAAGATAGCATCCCCATTTTGAAAGTGTGGTGTTGCCTTCTTCATCCCTGCACCCTTGCACTGGCTGTGTGTTGTACAGAAGAGCCTGTCTTGCCAAGTAACGCAGCTGAGGCTGTATAACTAACTTCTCCCTCCAACAATGTATTGCTTCACCCACGTTAGAGTCATCTGCAAGTGTCACCGGTAGTGATTTTATATTTTATAACCCCATTTCTAACTCTAGCAACGCAGAGGCCAGGGTGGTGATTGCAAAATGCAAACCTCAGTGATTAGATTAGATTAGCCAGACCCCCGAGGTTGCTGCTGGAATGTGTAAAGCCAGATGCCTTTGCATTTTTGAGAGACATTAGCAAGGATTGTCTTTGCATTAATACACAACATAAGATAACTGTGCAGCAGAGTGCTGTAAGTATGAAGGAACAGAAATGGATAAGAGCCCATCATTTCAGAAACCACGGTTTTGCTTTGAAAGTTGTTCATGATCTACTCCATTCTCTCCCTTGAGCAGTCTCTTCCTTGTGATTCTTTTACTGATCCTAATTTTGACTTTGAGAAGCCCCAGCTGCCAGCCATGGGCTTAAAGTTGGAATGGCAAAGTCATTCGTACAAAAGGAAACCACGCAAACATCCTTCATATTCAGGTATTTTGGCACAAGAAGAGAGGAGTCCTTATCAAGCAGGCATCTGAAATGCAAACCCATAAGATTTGTTCCTGTGCCCTTTGGCTTCATAGATGCAGAACCTGGCATGAGTGTACATCTGCGTGTGTGTGTGTGTGTGTGTGTGCACAATTGTAAATGCTTGTAAGTGCAGACTATAATCATGCATGGTGGAATACAATGGTTCACAAATAGTTCACCCAGTTGTGACTAACACTCAGGCATGAGATATGATTTGTCTTTAAGGTAGGCATTGCCTAGTGTTTCAAGAAGGGCATCTTCTTGTTGTCTGGACAGCAGCAGCATTGCATTAAAAGAGCATTTGAGACACTGTTGGAAGAAAAGGTCCTGAATTCCAGCAGTAATCCCCCTTAGCATGGCTGAGAAGATAATCACCATTCATAGTATTATACAATCGTAGAAAATGAGGGCTGGAGGGAGCTCAGGAGGTCGCATCTAGTCCAACCCCTGCTCCAAGCAGGACCAGCCCCAACTCCATCATCCCAGCCAAGGCTCTGGGTCTTCAAAACCTTCAAGGATGGAGATCCTACCATCTCTCTGGGCAAATCCCAGTGCTTCACTGCCATCCTCATGAGAAAGCTCTTACTAATATCTGATCTCAACATCCCTTGCTGCAGCTTGAGCCCATTGCTCCTTGTGCTGTCATCTGCCTCCACTGAGACCAGCCCAGCTCCATCCTCTTTGCAGCCCCCCTGCAGGGAGGTGAAGGCTGCTATTCAATCCCTCCTTGGTCTTCTCTTCTCCAAACTAAATTAGCCCAGTTCCCTCAGCTTCTCCTCACAGGTCCTGTCCCCCAGCCTCCAAACCATTTCCATTGCCCTCCATTGGATTCTCTCCAATGTGTCCACATCCTTTCTGCAGCAGGGGCCCACAGCTGGACACAGGACTCCAGATGTGGCCTCCCCAGTGCTGAATAGAGGGAAGAATCACTGCCCTCGATCTGCTGGCAACGCTCCTCCCAATGCAGCCCAGGATGCCGGTAGCCTTCTTGGCACCAAGGGCACACTGCTGGCTCATCCAGCTTCTTGTCCCCTGTCACCCCCAGGTCTTTTTCTGCAGAGCTGCTGCCCAGCCCATCACCCCCAGCCTGCACCGGTGCAGGGGATTGCTCCCTCCTAAGTCAGGACTTTGCACTTCTCCTTATTGCAGCATCGAAGGCCCTGGGTCAGCTTAGATGCTCCACGTCCCCCCTTGCATTGAGTTTGAAGTGCAGCCTGTGCATTGAGACCTTTCCAATGTTGTTACCCTGCTCATGGACAATACTATGTTCCTTCTTCTAGGCAGCCTGCAGGCTACCCGGGCTTTGATGGTGTCTGGGATCCTCCTGGGGATCATTGGCGTAGTCGTGGCAATGACCGGCATGAAATGCATGAAGTGCCTGGAAGATGACCAGGTGAAGAAGATGAGGATGGCTGTCTTGGGTGGCGTGATTCTCCTAATTGCAGGTGAGTCAGTGCTCCAAGATGGAGCACATCTATGTGCGCCCCATTCTGCATAGCTTTTATTTTGCAATCAAGCATGTGCCAGCCTGCAGCAGTCAGGTTTTACCTGTCTGCAGTGCTGGGATATTGGGAAAGGGTTGCTGCTGCCTTTATTAACTCTTTGGAAGCTGCAGGCATGCAGCAGATCCCCAGGCCTGGCTTTTATTTGGTCAGCCATCTCCAAAACTGCCATTGCCCACAGGGTTAAATTAGCCAGCTGGCTCAACCCTGTTCACTAGCTGCCTGGACATATCTGTGAGGGGGGTGGGACTTTGGTTCCCAGGGTGCTCTTGCTTGGGTTGGAAAGTCCCAAGAAACCTTAGATGCCAGGGGAAGAAATTGCAGCTGCCCTTTGCACAAGGGTAGTGGATGACTCTACAAAGGGGGTGTCATCCTTTTCCTTCCCTCGTTCCAGAGTTTGGCCCATTGCACATGCCCTTGAGGGCCCTTGCGGCAGGATGCCTGATACTTCTCCAGGGCTCCTGCTCTATTCCCACCCAACATAGGGCTGTGGCTGAGTGCCACAACTTGATCCAGGACTGCAGGTCCTCAATACACTAGGGACCACGTTACTGCTTCTGAGCTTTCCCCATTGACTCCCCATCCATCTCACGGCCTGACCTTCCCTTGCAGGTTTTGCCGTCCTTGTGGCCACATCCTGGTACGGGAACAAAGTGGCTCGGGATTTCTACAACCCTTTCACCCCCGTCAACACGAGGTAACGCACCTTCTTGCATCGCAGTTCAATATGTCACAGCAAACGAGGCTCCCAGCCATCTCAGGGAAGGCTCTTGGAGCCCAGAAGCAATCTCCTACGAGAAGCTATAGCATGGGGCAGGGCTTCAGCGAACAGCCCTTGGGGAAATGCATTGAGAGGCTTGGATGTAGGGCTGTTCCTGCTGCAAAGGTGGTAAAAAGGATAAACCTCCGCCCAAAAAACATTGCTTCTGGAGGCAAGACGTGATGTGCCTTCCCACAGCCATGACCGCGTGGTTTCCAGAAGCTCTGCAAGAGCAGAACGGCTCTCAGCCCTTGCTGCAAACCACGGCAGCTTGTTCAAATGCGACTTTGCTGCCGGTGGCTTGTTGCAGACATAGCTGGAGTGGATTTTTTTCTGCTTGCGGGTCTGAATCTTTTTAAGCTCCCTCTTGACTGATGCCATGTTATACCCCTGCCAATATGCCAGCTAGAGCCACCAGCAAGGGGGGGTTCCTCGAATGTTAACCACAGGCTGCTGCATTTGGCTCCTGCAAGCATCTTCGTCATGAGCTGGGGAAAGTTTACCCAAGAGGGGTCTTGGGCTGGGAGCGCGGTGGGTGCAAAAAGAACAGGATCCTTTTTTTTTTTGGTTATTTATGGTGGGGGGGTTTAACCATTATTCCCAAGTGAGATGGGAACGGGCCCCTCAAGCCACAAGCTGGACCCCAGCCTCATGCATCTGTGTCACACGCGATCCATACCAAGTGCTATTTGCTGTAGTCTTAGGAGAACGAATTAGGTGCGTGGTGATGATGGCATCTCACGGCAGTGGGTGCTAGAGACGTGGGAGTGAGGGGAGTTACTTCTCCAGCCCTCGTGGCTGCAGGGAATGCGAGGCCTGAGGTGGGGTGAGGGGCTCGGAGAGCAGAAGGCAATGGGAAAAAATATGAACTGAGCAGTGTTTTGTGTCTGGCAGAGTTGGGGGTTTCTCCATGGCTTTATCCAACGTGATTTGTCGTTCCTCCCAGATTTGAGTTTGGCCAGGCTCTCTTCATCGGCTGGGCGGCTGCGGCGCTGACCATCCTGGGCGGCGCTTTCCTCTGCTGTTCCTGTCCCCGAAGAGAAACCTCCTATCCCCCCTCCCGGCCCTACCCCAAGAGCACCACGAGTGGCAAGGACTACGTATAACGGAGCGGGGAGCCGAAGCCGCGGGCATCACCAGCGGAGACCGTTGTGGAAAGGACGCTGAGACGCTGCTGTCCTGGTCGAAGCAGAGTTCCAGCCGTCTGCATTCAGCCTTGCTTTTAGCCCAAACGTGCATGTTATAATCCTCCCCGTTACTGGACATCAATCCTCCTCCTTCTCCCACCCCACGGAGGGAGCCTAGCCGTGCTCGCTGGACCTGGGCCACCTCCAACCGCTTTCATACCAGCTCTGCAGCACGTTGGGAGTGCAAGGGCGGGGGGAAGGATCTTTTCTCCAGATGACTTTTGGTGCTTTTTTAATCCAGAAACACATGGTAACAGTTCAGCTGGAGCCCACTATGGGGGATGTGTACATAAATCTATATCCTTTTCTATGCAAAGGGGCTGCAGCAGTAGTATCAAGAGAAAGATCCCAACCAGGCAGGTAGACCCTGTTGTGAGAAGGTCCATGTGTTTTCTCTGTCGTTTCCTATTTATCTCTATGTCTGCTGCAGATATCAGTCCACAAAAAGTTGGTAGACTCACCCCCGCGGAGATGAGCCTACCCTCCAATTCTTTTGCAGGTGGTACAAGGCAGGTAGGTGCTATTTGGAGCTGGCGGAGGGTGACTCTCTGGTTTAATTTGCCTCGGTGATTCATTAGAAAGCGTTCCCTTTGGAGAATGCTCTACAGTATTGTGCTTCTCACTGCCAGAAAGGGTTTCCTTATCTTGCTTACCCCACATCTAACTGTGCTCAGGTTCACCCCGTTTTGCTCCATGCAAAACACACCTACGCATCACCTCTACCAGTCCAGCCCTTTACATCATTTTCTTCTTCAAAAATCCCTCCCGGTCTATCAGCATCTTTCTGGTACCGAGGTGCGCTGTATTTCAGATGCAGCGGTGCAGAGAAAGCCTGCCTTCATCCCCAGAGAGCCTTGCATGGATGTCTTATAACCCTGCCTAAGACCCAATTCCTCTACTTATGCAACAACTCCCTTGGTTTGTATTTCACCACCCCCTGTGCAAAAAATAATAAAAATCTATCTAAGCAGCTGTGCCCCATCACCCGACAGGCTTGTTTCAGCCTTGCTGCTTTCTAAGAACTCATCTTTTTATTGCTTTCCATTGAATGCCTCCTACATGTTCCCAGATGTATTAACATGCCATTTCCTAGGTTGGTTAATGTTTTTTAAAAAGTCCCATTCAAATTTCTAAACGCTCTGGATTGTTTCCCACTAGTTCTCTCTCCTCACTGAAGCTTGCAGCTCTTTTTTTCACCTTAAAAGAATTAACGTGGAGTTTGCCTTTTCTTCCAGATAAATACATTTACCCAAACTGAGCCCAGTGCCAGCCCGTAAAACCTTCCCCTGGATGCTGCCTCTAAATACCCGCCAAGCTGACTACACTGCTATTTCATCCCAGATGGCCTTTCCCCTCTAGATAGTTTCAGCCCATTTCTTCAAGCAACCAATCCAAAGTTTTTATCCAAGCTCATCAAAAAGAACTTGGAAATCCCAATGTTCAAATAATTACGGCAAGCAGCTGTCGCTGAGACATGCAGCTCGTAATAAAGGGCTTCGTGCCTTCCTCCAAAACATCTGGTTCAGGTGGCACTTCTGACACAGGAGGCTGTGGGTCAGTTGTGGTTGGGTAATAGCTAACAGGATAGTGGCAGCTCAAACACAAAGCGTGCGTCTACATGTGCATTAATGCACTTTAGTTAATGCGCATTAAATCTAGTACCTCCATGGTGAGGTACTAGGGAAATGTGCATTTGCCTGTCTTAATGCACATTAACTAAAGAGAACAGTTTTTCAGTGACGCTTAATGTGCATTGGCCTATTTTAATGTGCATTAGCTAAATGCCCCCTTTTTTTTTTTTAGGGGTGCTTTAATGCTCATTAAAATAGGCTAATGCTCAGTAAAGTGCATGTGTAGATGCACCCAAACTCTCCATTTGGAAGGAAAGAAGCCAGCCTCTTCTATCCCTGCTCCCTAAATGCTGCAGATGTGGAGAGGCACTTGCATCTCCTGACCCCTTTGTATAAAAAGGGTCAGCCCCTGGCACTGAAACGTGCCAAACTGCAGCATGGGTGGCCTATCTGATCCTCATGACCTAGCCGTGCTCTGACGGCCGCCTCTGTGGCATGGATCTCAGAGCCATTCACGTGTCTGCTTCAGATTGAAATCCCTCCCTGTACCTATTTCACATGTATGACTTCTGTTGACTTCTTGGGGGGACAGCTGTCTGTGCCCAGTGGCCATCGGATGAGCCCCCAGCTGGGAAAGCTTGAAGCCCCAGCTGCATCCACGAGCGGCAGAGGTTGGATCTTTTGTATTTAGTTCTTACCCTGAGCAGGGAGCAGGCTTTTCTATGGGGAACTTGTATAAAGTGTGAAACTTTTTCAATAAATGGAATTTTTTTTTAAGAAAACAGAAGAGCATCCATTGCTTATTTCCCTGATAGCGCGGTCAGCTTGGCAGCGGTGATGGGAGCGTGTGTATACGTGTGTAATGTCAGGAATTTGAAATTCAGGTGGCCGGATATGCTTGACCTGAACACACCAGGCCTTTACATCAGTGTAATGTGCATCAGTTTTGCACACCTGTTTAAATTGCACTGGGGGCGGCTTTGCTCAAAGGTGTGGAGACCCTCGAAGGTACTGAGGTACCTAATTCCTAGGCACTTCTCCCTTTGAGGATCTGGGCTCTGGTCCAGCCAACCTCCCGGGAGCCCAGCTATCACCCCGGCCCATCAGACCCCCAACAGACAGCAGCCAAGTCATTCCTACCTGCTCCAGGTCAGTGCGGGGCTCCTCATCTCCCCGCTAGCTCCACTAATGCTTCCCTTGTCATACCAGACCAAGGCATCTAGACCCTGAAGCTACCTGGTCCTTGTCCCATTCCTGCACCGGACTTTTTCTTTGACACCCCCCCGCCCAACCACTTTGCAACCTCAGGGGGCTGCAATGAGAGGAAATCTGTGTCAAGCTTTTTTCCCCTGTGAAGAGCTGAAAAGCTGCCCGCAGGCTCGTTTTCCACTCCATGCCCACTGCCTTTGGTGCAGCAAACAAAGGAAAAGGAGCTAATTAGGGATGGATAAAGCTGCCTCAGCAAAGTAGGCAGGCATGCTGCAGCCTGGAGCAGCCTGGCACGGGTCAGGGTCTGCTGCTATCCTTATTTCCCCCTGTCAATTAGTCACAGATTTCCACTGAGATTGATTTTTTCCCATGCCAACTGCCCCTTCAAAACCAATCCAAGCTTCATTGCAGTTTGCTTTGCAGATGAGAGGGGGAAAAAAAAAGCAATCTCCCCCCTGCAAGGTTGGCTGGACTGTGCAATGCTCACACAAAGGGGCAGGAGTTGTGGGCCTCTGCTGAGACGTCTGATTCGGTTGCAGGGAGTGGGAGCAGAGACCTGGGCTGCTTTGCCTTTGTGGTGACCCAGCAGCACTGCCCAGCCAGCCATTGTCGGGGTACCCTGGCTCATCGGCACCGTGTTTGCAGCTCCGGCTGGTACCCAGGGGACGGGGGTATGAGCTCATCCAGCACAGCGCTCTGATGTCAGCGCCGGTGATGTCAGCAGGAGTATCCCCTGCCTATGGCATAAGGTGGTCTTTTTGTTCTGGAAGGCACTGAAAACCATGAGGATAGCAGCTGCCTCGGGGAGACGGTCTGTGACCAGCATGTTGGTATCAGTGAGATGAGCAGGACTAGAGGGGGATGCCTAGGCACAGAGGTGGGCTGCGGCAGGTCTCAGGGGCCTGAAGTCCCTGCAGTCTGGTCCTCAAGTGGAGGGAGAAGCTGGGCATGCAACCCAGAGCTGGGCATGTGTGCTCCAGAGAGGAGCAGGACTTCAGGCTCAGTGTCTATTGGGTTTGCACCCAGTTGCACCTTCAGCAGAGCTAGTGCTGCCCATGGACGGAGCCCAGACACCAGACTGGTTCTTTGCCTCGTCAGGTGTCTAGTGGCAGCTGGTGTGACTGGAAGTCCCTAGTTCTCCAGGATGTGTCCAGAGACACACAGGAACGGCAGCTCGGCCTCATCCCTTAGCACTGCCCAGACACCAGGGCCAACAGCTGGTTCCTGTGGAGCAAAAGGCTACACCTGCTCCTGCTTCCCTCCCACCTTGCTCCAGGGAAGAGCAGGGTGGAGAACACGTGTTTGGCACGTGCACGGTCTGCAAACAGAGCTAGGTCAAACCCAAGCAAAGGGTTGTTTCCTGCGTGCTTGCTTCCCAGTAAGTCAGCTCATGCTGTGCTAGAAAATCATAGAGGATTGGAAAGGACTTCAGGGCCATCTAGTCCAACCCCCTGCTCCAAGCAGGACCAGCCCCAACTACATCATCCCAGCCAAGGCTTTGTCTAGTTGGGTCTTCAAAACCCTCCAAGGATGGAGGTGCCACCACCTCTCTGGGTAACCTGTTCCAGTGTTTTACTACCCTCCTAATAAGAAAGTTTTTCCTAATATCCAACCTCAACTTCCCTTGCTGCAGCTTGAGCCCATTGCTCCTTCTGTTATCTGCCCCCACTGAGACCAGCCCAGCTCCATCCTCTTTGCAGCCCCCCTGCAGGGAGGTGAAGGCTGCTATTCAATCCCCCTCGGTCTTCTCTTCTGCAGACTAAATCAGCCCCATAAGCACAGAGCCACGACGACCAGCCACTGCTGACTTTAACCGCTCCATTTTTCCCCGCTGGGGCATTGGCCAGCTTGCACACCGACACCATTAAAGTGGTGCAAAAGCACTTTGTCCACTTTAAAGTGTCATGCACACACACCTCTTGTTTTGTCTACACACGGCCCTAGTCATGTGCAATATATATTGCAGCTTTCCTATGTGTTCATAGACATACATGCAAATATATGTGTGTATGCACACACCCACACATATATATCATAGACTATAGGATATGTGCTCAGTTAGTGAAGTGGCTCGTTTCGTTTTTCCCTGGCTTGTTGCTAAGTTTGCTACTGGAGTTTGCTATTACCAGTTTTCCAGTGTTACTTTTGGGCTGTTACGATCCTGGAGGACAGGTAATGAATGGTCCTCCCAGCTGGACAAGCTCCAGGTGGGCATTTTCAAGGCGCAGCTTGGGAGATCACAAAGACCCTGGGATCCTTTGAGGCGAGAAGTGCTTTCTCCATCTAAGACACCATTGCACAAGAGATAGGCGGTGAATCATAGCAACTAGACATTTCCAGCTGGGCAAAGTCACCCATTTCAGGGATGCAATACTGCCTGAATCAATAGCATCTATTGTCTGGGGATTGGCCCAACTGTCCATTGCCGTTGGCCTGGCAGAGGCTATTTTTGCTGCTAATGGGGAACCTACTGGGCGCACACAGGGACTGGCCTGCAGTGCAGAGGACGAAGAGGACATTGTCTTCCCAGGTGCGGAGCTTGCACTTCTCCCCAGTGCTAAATTCAGCAGAAGCAGGATGTAGTGCAATGGTCCTGGCCCGTGGACCATTGGTGAGCGTCATAGACCACGCCAAGCCACACTTCCATTTAAAAGCTGGAGGATAAAGGCACATGACAACCTGCAAGGAATAGGGGTCTTTGGTGATTGCTGACCGGCCCATAAAGCTTCGGGACAATCAGCCCAATGAATGAAGCATGGACCTAGCAGTCAAGAGCTCTTTTACTCTCTGTGCACTGGCACTGACCTCCTGCCTGATCCTGGCAGAGTCGTTTCACCTCCTGGTGCCTCTGTTTCCCCTCCTGTGCACGCTGGATGCTGCTGCTCTGCTTTCGAAGCAGCCTGGATGCTCTGGATGGAAGCCAATAAGGAGAAGCCAAGTCTATTATTATCAAACCTACTCAAAGGAGAGGAAAGAGAGTCCTGGTTCCTACTCTGACAGCAGCACTTCCCTCCCGCGGTCACCATTGTTCCCAGGCAGGGTCAAGAGCCAGGCGTGGGAACAGCAGCGCTACTGCCTCTCCAAACAGACACCCCCAGGGCAGCTGGGGCCTTGCAGGGAGGTAATGATGGGTGCATCCCATGCACCACTCTGGGTGGTGGGTTCAAAACTTATGGGGGTGGGAAAGAGGCAAAGGTTTCTACAGTGTGTTGTTTGCTCCCTGCAATGCTGCAGCGGGCGCAGGGGCTCTCCTAGTCCTGCTCTCAGGCCAGCCCCGAGCAGCAGCCGCTCTGTTCCCAGAGCCAGCTCCCCTGCCTGCAGAGCAGCAGGGAAGCGATGAAAACAGGGCGGGCCAAAGGGAAAACAAAGCAATAAATAGCTTTCCCCTGACAAGGCAAACAGCACGAATCTGGCTTTGGGGAAGAAAAGCCGTACCCTGAGGATTTGCTTCCCTTGGCCAACCGTTCCTGGAAGACGCCTCCCAATACCCGCACTGCGTGTGCACCACAGCTGCAAGCACTGATTCACCCGTGGCCTTGTATTTGCTGCTTTGAGCCCCCTGAACCTACATACAGGCTGCAGGGAGCCAAAAGTCTACCTGGCGAACCCCGCTGACCACGGGGGACTTACATAACACATGCCTTTGGCCTGCAGGGTCTTACTGCAAAAGTGATACCCCTTACTGCCCTATCCCAGGGTGGGGAGCAGGTGTTTGGGTTGCATTTGTTCTTCCCATGGGAGGTGCTGGATGCCTCTTCCTGAACAGTTGCCTTTTCCAGACCTGCCAGGCCCAAGAGCCTGTTTCACCCATGCTGCAATTCTGCAGACACGGCAGCCACCAAACACAACCCTCAAAACATGCCTGAGAGAGCAAGCCAAGGCTGGGGCTTTGCTCTTCCCCCTGAGGCTCTCCAGCTAAGCAGATGCCCAGGGCAGTGGGGCCACATCTTGTCTTTGCAAAGGGCAGGAATGAAGGCAACAAGGACAGGGGAAGGGGCTTGCACAAAGAAAGAGATGGGGCAGAAGCACTGAGTCCACCCCCACAGCCAGATCCTACTACCCCTATTGGGTATCTAAGCCGATTTAGGCACAGAAGAGCAATTCTGTTCCACCTTGCTCGAGTCCTGACAACCCATTACTGCATCTCCTATTGTCATAGACATACTCATTGAGAAGTGGGGCTGGAAGGGAGCTCCAGGGATCAATGGCATGTACTGTCTGGGGACTGGCCCAGCTGTCCATTGCTGTTGGCCTGATGGACACTATTTTTGCTGTTGATGAGGGAGCTACTGGGCACACACACACAGAGGCCTGGGCATAGGGATTGGCATGCAGTGCAGTGGACAAAGAGGATGTTGTCTCCCCATGTGCGGAGCTTGCACTTCTCCCCAGTGCTAAATCCAGCAGAAGCAGGATGTAGTGCAGTGGTCCTGGCCCGTGGGGTTACGTGGACCACACCAAGCTGCTCATTGTCCTTCCAGCTCTCCAGAGGTCACATCCAAGTCCAACCTGAGGAAGGATCAGCCCTGTCCAAACCATCCCATGCATCCACAATCAAACAGGCAGCGCT